CAACAGCTGGCAAGCAACAAAGAAAATCATACACAAGACTCCATAAGGTTATAAACTGATTGGCCCATTAGGTCAGGCTTCTTGTTAACTCTTATAACTTATATTAACCCATTATTCTCATCTATGTTAGCCATAATGGCTCCATACCTTTCTCAGCTGGGCAAGTTACATGCTGCCTCTTCAGTAGTCTGCGCAGGAGTGGCTGAGGAACTTTTCTCCTCCCTAGCCTTATCCTATTCTCATTACTCCGCCTCTACTTCTTGTCTGGTTGACCCGCCTATACTTCCTGCCTGGCCAATCAGCGTTTTATTAAAATACATGATTGACAGAATACAGATAATTCTCCCGCACCAGAGTCTGGTTCCTTCCTCAACAATTCTACAACAAAAACACAGGTGCAGGCCCAGTGCGGTGACATGTCTTTAATCTCAGCAACATATCCAGCTCTGAAAGTTTTTCAAATAGTATATATTCAGCAAGGCCCATGGCAGCACGGGCCTGAAATCCTAGCACCAGGGACACCAAGACAGGAGGAACACAAGTTCCAAGTCATCCCAGGCCATAAGCAAGACCTGTCACAAACAAAGTACTCTCACTGACATGAACTCTCACTGACAACCAAGTGATTGCTTCAGCAAAGGACAGTGAGCATTAGAAGTCTAAAACTAAGGTCCAGTCATCACGTCTCAGCTATAATTGAAAACTCCAGTGAGCCAGTGACTATAGATTAAAAGCCTTTGGTGCTGACCCAAATCTATGGAAAGCAACTAAACCAGACTGGTGATAGTGAGTCAAGGAGAATGCTGGGCTCCAGCAACAACCTGCTTGATGTAATGAACTGTTCTGGAAATGGCTGGTCAGGTCACCCCGAGCTGACAAGAGCATTCCTTCATTTCCGAGAGGGCTCAGAAGGCCCGCTGCAGTCCCAGAGGATTTCCTTCCTGTGTGCCCACAGGCTGGCCTGCAGTTCCAACACCATATGTTTTCTCACAGGAAAAGCGACATCTAAGTTGTGACAGGGACGCCAGCACACACAGCTAATGCAAAGTATCAGTTGTTGGACACACCGAGTGGGGCAGAGATTAGATTAGCTGAAGCTTCTGATTGAAAGTGTGCAGGTTCTCATCCAAGCCCATCAACTGCCCTATAGCATAGTCATGTGAAAGCAAAAACCATTTACTTTAATCCCCACCACCAACAACGCCAATAAATCACAGGTTTGGTTCTCTATAGCTCTGGCAGGCCTAGATCTAAGAGTTCTGTCTGCCTCTGCCTCCCCAGTGCTGGGATTAAAGATGTGTGCCACCCCACTTGGCTAGTTCTGGTAATTTTTTTGTTTGAATGGAGCCCTAGCTGGACTGGAAAGCAGGACTGAGGTCGGCAGGCCTTCTGTCTCTACAAGTCAAGCCACAGCCGTGCGCTGTCTTTCTGCCCGCTTTCCATGCTGCTCTAGAGCGAAGCTGTCACACCTGTTCTGTAAAGAGCAGAGAGTAGATCTAGGCACTCACTGGTGAGACTGAGCACTGGGCTCTGGGTCTGTAAGCAGAACCAGGCACACCAAGCCCTAGGCAACCCTTCATTTCCTGCAATCTGACTTCACGTGTTACAAAACATTCTTCTTTCCAGTTTCACAAAACTCAAAAGCAAAGTGTCATTCTCTTGGGCTGTACACTGTGTGACGGCTTGCAGTTTGCCAACAGGCTGTAGAGCACTTAACTCTGCCATCAGTGTCTAAAGATGGCCACTGGAGAAACGGTGACACATGGTTGTCACACAGCAGGAGGGGGCTGCTGGAAACAGACCTGTGTGTAGCAGGCTCCAGATCCCCGACTCAGATCTCCATGACCGTGTGTGTCCACAGCGAGGACACTCTTACTTTTCCCCTGATCGCTGGTGACAAATAGTCTATGGGACTCCACCCAGTTTCCTGTTTCTTCAGTCAAACTAATCAGAAGAATAGACAGGCACAGCCAGTCAAGAGAGAGCTCCGTTCACAGTCCCATGGCCCCTGCTTCTTCCCCCCATAGACAGTAAAGGTCCTGTCCACAGATACTGCAGCAATAGACTTGTAGTGGTCCTTTCTCTTTATTAATGGTTATGGATAAAAAGTCTCCTTTTTCCATTTTTGAGGCAGAGCCTTAGAATTTCAACAATGACTCTTTACTCACTAAAGTCTCCCCCACAGGCAATGTGGTGGTTTGAATGAGAATGCCTGCAACAGCTCAGGCAATTGAACTCTTGATCCCCAGCTGGCTGCATTGTTTGAGGGGGATTAGGTAGTGCAGCCTGATGGGAAGAATTTAAAGACTGGTAAGATTCCAGTTTGCCTCTTGGCTTCCTGCTCCAGCCAGGCCCAGCACCTGCAGCCAACGTGGACTCTCATGCCTCTAAAACCACAAACAAGCTCTCCTTTCTCTACTGTGTCCTGGTCATGTTGTTTGGTTTGTATAAAGCAGCAGAAGAAGCGGTACAGGCAGCTGAGAGCAACTTGACATCGGCCTTTTTTTGCACTGGTCTTGGACAGCTCTTGTGAGGACAAGAGCAGCCACAGAATCATCGCATTATCTCAGAACCAAGACTTAGACTTCACAACTGTAGGGGGAGCAAACTGGACAGTATCAGCATTTGAAGCCCCTCAGCCTACTGCAGTCTTTAATTCAAGTCTTGCTGATAATGATTCTGCACACACAGCAGCCTTTCATCAGATACGCAGCCTAGGAGCAGTACAGGACTCTGCTTTTCCAAAGCCCAGTTCTTCTTGTGACAAATTCCCAGACAGGATCAACCAGGCTTCTGCCCCTTCTACGCCACAGTCCCACTGTCCCATGTTCAGTTGCAGCCTACTTCTGCATGTGACTCTTTTTGGCCCTCTGTCACCAAGTGCAACAAACATACGGGCTCTAATGAGTTTCCTCCTGACTCTAACCACTTCCACAGAGCAGGCTGGAGCTACAGCAGGCTCACTCTGACGGCTGTGCTTTGCCATGAAAACCTAAACATTTACCTTAAACTTTCTATGTATTTAGTGTGCGTGTGTGCATGGAAGTCAGAAGACAGCTTTTGTGAATCAACTCTATAACATGGACCCCGGGGATCTATGTTGAAGCCGTCAGGGCTGGCAGCTGCCACATTTACCACTGAGTCATCTCTTCAGCCTTATAAAACAACTTTCTTAAAAATCTTTAAAAAATAAGAGAGCAGTCAGGTGTGATGTGGTGGTGGTGCACACCTTTAGTCCAGCACTTTGTGAGTTAAAGGCCAGCCTGGTCTACAGAGAGCTTTCCAGGACAGCCAAGACTACACAGAGAAACTATCTAAAAACCAAAAAGTAAACAATGTATTCATGTTGTTAAGAAAGTATTCTGTGATTTAAAAGTATCTGTATAGGTATTTACAGCCCTCGATAATAATCGTTATTCAAATATTTTCTGATAAAGCTGAATTATGTTTCTAAGCCATTATGTGTGTGAAGAGAGCCTTTCTAAGAAAGGATGCTATGCTAGTTTGTATCAGCCTGTCTAATATGGAGAGAACAGAAAGCACTAGGAAACAATTTAACAATCTTTGCAACTATCCCTTAACAGGGTAAAAAAGAAAGCAACCTCTGTCCCCAGAGAAAGTCTAGCTCTGCCAGCAACAGGCACAGGGGTCCACAGAAGCTTGTGAAAACGGCAGCAAGAGCTGCTGGGGGCTGCTGGGATAGAAAAGAATCAAATCAGGTCACATGACACCAGTACAGCACAGACCAACTCTAATCCAGGTTCCCAGTCACTAAAACCAGTGTTGGTGATCGTACAAACCAGATACCTGAACCAGGAGGAAGGACAGTGTCCTAGGCAGAAGGCAGTGCCACCAGTCCATGTGAATGATCTCATAGCACACTAGTCTCAGTCCCCTCCTCTGTCAACACTGGGTCCATGTGAATGACCTCATGGCTGGCTAGCCACAGCCCTCTCTCCTCTACATTGGCTCATTATGGAGAGGCCCAGGGACACATGACCCCAGCACCAAGTTTTAGCTTTCTCAGTAGGAAGTTACAGATACAAGGTTTTATCTGAAAAGAGCAAATTGAAGGCAGGTAAGAGGCAGTGAGAACTGGGGACTATGGGATTCAAAGATACAACTTCATGGGATGGATCTCCAGGAAAATCTCCCATCTCACACTGGAAATAAAGTCCTTACATACTTACTGTCTTAAAACACAGTGCTAGAATGAATGAGAGGTTCACTGTACTTGCTTCCTGGCTTCAGCTGGCACCGTACGTACATCTAAGACGATGTAAGAAACACAACGGTGCCTCTCACCATCCTGCACAGCTGCCTTCCCACCACACTGCTGAGAGGATGTGGGTACCTCAAGAGGTGATGGCAAGGCTACCAGCGTCTTATCTTTACAGGAATAGGCTGTAGCAGGGCCATCTTGACACACTGATAGTGCCCAGCCTGAACAACAAACAGCACCCTTTCACTGCTGGACAGAACTGAGCTGCAGTCAACCACCCAGTAAAATGTGCACCCCAAACCTCACGAGATACCATTTGCCTCCTGGGTGAGGCACAGCTCAGAATGACCTCCTGAATAGAAGGAAAAAGACACCATACAGGCCTGACTGGGGTGATGAATGATGAAGGCAGAGGTCCCTGCTTGGTGCCATCTGAATTTGCCCTTCACAGTGTACTACACAGGGGACCACTGCCTTAGTGCTTGAGCTGTCAGGTGGTGTCCTTTCTCGCTGACTCTGGCTGCCAAGGACTCAGGAAGTGTAACAAACTTTGGGAACTATGAGCTGTGCCTGTGCAAACCAAGTCTTCCCTCCACAGGCTCTCCTGCTTGTCCCCAGCCACAGCTCTGTTGAGCAACACAGGTGTCACCTTCCAGAAAAACACTTTTCTTGAGATAAGCCAGTTTCTGCCCCACCCAGTTTTATGTTGTCAGTTGAAAAACACTGAATTATTTTCAAACTGGCCTCCCCAGGTCCCTTTTCAGGTGGCGCTGGCTACCTTGGGGTTGGTTCGCTGCTGCAGTCTCCGCTCTTCCCGCTCCCTCTGGAGTCTCTCAAACTCCTCTCTGATCTCAGCTGGAGTTCTCTTTCTCTCCACAACCTGTGAGCAGAATTGAGGGAGACAGATGAGGCCCAGGACACCCACAGAGACGGACTTTTGACATACACATGATAGCCGATAGCCAGGGGTCAGCAGGGCAAACCCCAGGCTCTAAAGATACAGAAGGAGTTGCACAGAGCTGCCTACCAACCCTGTGAGGAAAGCAAGGCTCTGCTGGCCTCTCCAAAAACTGACATTCCTTATCTTAGTAACCCTCAGAGGTGCAGGAACCTTCTAAAGAAATCCTACAGTTAGTTCTACTGAGAAATTAACTGTCAATGCAGTACACCGTGGGAGTCTAAACTTGGGACAAATCAGGGGCTTGTCTTCTATAACATGAAGTTCAGCACTGAGCTGCCAGTGACGCTGTGGTCTCAGGTCCAACAACACCGGAGGATCTAATAGCAGATGACGTGAAAGTCATTGGCACACCATGAGATCAAGTCTGGACAAGCCAGGACGCTCTAGCACGGCCTTGCTTAGTCTCAGCGCACATGACAGGAGGTGTTGCAGCTGACATTTCACAGGGGCAGAGCTTCATGGAAAGGGCGAGGCACTGTGGACATCAGCTCCCTCACCTCTGTGGCCACTGTACCACATGACATCCAAGCACACAATCCTAAGCCCCCATGAGAAACGCAGAGCCTGGGAACACAACGGAGCCCGGTGCTGGGTCTCAGCCTGGAATGCACTGCGGTGAAAACAACCTGGATCCTTCTCCCTGTGCCCACTGCACACGGCTGGTTAGAGACAGAACCAATTGCCAAATTAAATGGCCGGTCCCTCCACAATGCTGATGACACTTCCTGGGTGCAGACACCTCCCTCTTGGCAGTCATAAGCCTCTGTCATCAGGGCTTTACCTGGCACTAATCAAGTACAGGAAGCTGGGGTGGTCCCATGAGGGCAGTCCCGGCTGTGGGCACCTACAACTTTTGCTATGTGCTGGATAACCCCCACCCTGAGCCCCCACAGAAGCCTAGTTCACCTGGGCCAGTAGGAAGACTGACTCCATTAGAGGAGAAGTGCTGTGGAATAATCTTTGTGTATACTGTGACTATAACGAATTGGTATAATAAAAAGCTGAAGAGCCAATTGCTAGGCAGGATTTTCTGGGCAGAGAGGATGCTGGGAAAACAAGGGCAAAGAAGCCAGCCAGATAGAGAATGAGTTAGATACACAAAATGAGACAGAGGTAAAAGTCACTTGGTAGAATGTAGATTAATAAATATGGGTTAAGTTATAAGAGCTAGTTACAGCCGGGTGGTGGTGGTGCACACAACTTTAATCCCAGCATGTGGGAGGCAGAGGCAGGTGAATTTCAGTGAGTCTACAAAGCAAGTTCCAGGACAGTCAGGGCTACACAGAGAAACCCTATCTTGAAAAAACAAACAAACAAAAAGAACAAAACAAAATAAAAAAGCTAGTTAGAAACAAGCCTGAGATATTGGCTGATCTTTTATAGTTAATAAAAAGTCTCCATGTGGTTATTTGGGAGCTGGCTGGCAGGACAGAAAAAGTCCAACTACAGGGAAGGATGGGTCAGGTGGGAGTGGGCAGTTCACCTCCAGGGAGAATGTCCACAGCTACAGTCCCTAGGCATGGTTGGGTCTGAAAAGTCTAGGATCCTAAGTCTACTTTTATATTAATATCTTTTTAAAAAAATATTCTTTTTAAGGCTGGGTGGTGATGGAGCACGCCTTTAATCCCAGTACTAGGGAGGCAGAAGCAGGTGGATCTCTGTGAGTTTGAGGCTAGCCTGGTCTACAATAACTAGTTCCAGGACAGGCTCCAAAGCTACAGAGAAACCTTGTCTCAAAAAAAAAAAAAACAAAAACACAACAACAAAAAAAATCTTTTTAATTTTTAAAATTTTGTTTTATGCATATGGGTGTTTTGCTTAAATGCTTATCTGTATCATTTGTGATGCCTGGTGCCAGGGAAGTCAGAAGTCAGCATCAAGTCCTCTGGAACTGGAGTCACAGATACCTGTGAGCCACCATGTAAGTGCTGTGGTTTGAACCTGGGTCCTCTGGAAGAACATCTCTCCAGCCCCAATGGTAGCATCTCATGAGGCCATAGACAACCATCAAGGCTATCATAAGCACCACACGTTTTTATTGGCCAGACCTAGACTTTTCAGATTTTGTGAGCTTCCCACTAACATTTATTTCTCACATTGCCTTAGTTATCTCTGCTTTGTGACAGTTTGAAATCTCTCATGATACATTTCTGCTTTTCACAGAGGTTACCCTTCTTAGACACTCTCATAGGGGACAATGGGTAACGTACAGGGCTGCAAACTGCAGATGAATCAGGTCAAAGGATGTACCCATGAGAGCAGTTTGCAGGCAAGTTGAATCATGTGGTTTCCACTCCACCTGCCAGCCAGGATGAGTGCCGAGACCGTCTAAGCGTTCAATCTGACTTTCTCAATTCTAAGGAAAAGACAAACTTCATTTTCAACGTGGGCACTGGTGTCAACACTGCTAGCCAGCTCCAGGCACTAACAGCTGGGGGCGGTTATTGGTTACATTACAAGTTCCAGGCCTTCTAGAGCATCATAGTGAGAACTGCCTTTAAAAGACCCAATTTCATTCCTAACATCCTCCATTAAACAGAAGTGACATCACAGCTGAGACCCAGGTGCTTCTGAGGCATTTCACATACTCTGGATCCACAATTACCTTCACTTTTTACCGAATAGTCTAGGTGTTTACTCAAGTAACAGGCTGGGACAGATGACCTTCAGTCACCAAAGACCCGTATTCTGAAGACATTAGTAACACAATAAAAAGAACATAATGAATGCCATGTCCTTCGTGTGGAGAGAGAGCCCATGTAAACAGGAACTGCAGTCACTCCACAGATCATGGCCGAATTCAGATGCTCTGTGTGCATTAGGGAGCTGGTGTCCTGTTGCATGCCAGCACTGTTAATACTCAAGGATGCTTTCATTTTTGGTTTGTCTGTTTTGGTTCTCAACCTTCCTAATGTTGCAACTCTTTAAATATAATTGCTCATGCTGTGGTGACCCTCAACCATAGCATTATTTTTGTCACTACTTCATAACTGTAATTTTGCTACTACTATAAATGTATTTTTTGAGACAGATTTGTTAAAAGGATCAAGGCCCACAGGTTGAGAACTGTTCTATGGAGCCAAGGCTGGCTTGGAACTCACTGTATGCCCCAGGCTGTCCTGCCTCACAAGAGCTGGAATTACTCCCACGAGACATCACACCTAGCTGGCTTACTTGTGGATTTACTGAGAAGTTTGTTTCATTAAAGCAGTTTGCTGAAGCTATGCATGCAAAGTTGACCACTCACCATCTGTGACTGGCTGCCTCTTGAGTAAGAGCAGCAGAGTCTGGCTTTGCAGCATGCTAGCGGGAGACAGTCTGCTTTGGTGGGAGGGTCCCACTACTCCAGGCGTGCTGAAACACTGCCAGAGTCTGAGAAGAGTCTGGGCACAAAATGGACTCTTTTCCATCGGGTAAAAGGTACAAACTGCAACGAACTACTGAGATTTCCAGAAAGCTAGAGGCCTAAAACAAACTCCTATGGGAGCCAGGCAGGACACATAGAGCCTGCTGCAGACAAGGGCCTGATTACAGTATGGAGTGGAGAGGATGGGACAAAGTGTGAACACAGACTAGTTCAAAGGGCAGGGCTTCCTCAGGGCTGGCAGCTACCTCACGAGGGGACTCAGGTCCAGTGCTGCTATTCTGGCGCTTCAGACAACTGTTGGATATTCACACAAAACCTCCAGACTTCAAATCTTAGCAGCTACAGTTTACCATGCTACGCCCATCAGAGCACGGCTAAAGGTGGAAGGTGACCCATAAGCCCCCAGTGCAACCAGTCAGTTCTGCTTTCTTCCCATCATACCTCAAGCCTTAGATGGGCTTCCTGTCGGGGTCAGAAGGGACAGACAGAGCCTGAGGTCCAATAGGAAACTGGCACCATCCGCATGTGCCACTACCGTCGGACGGGATCCCGAGGGCACTGATGGGATCCCGAGGGCACTCGCGTATCAGTCTCTGGGTAAGACTGAGTAAGAACACCTGTATACTCTGTAGCAGTTTGGGTTCTTACAATACAATTAATATTCATGCTCACTTTTCTACAGAACTTTATTCTTCAGGTAACACAGAAGCGCAAAAAAGCTTGCCACACTTTTGCTACCAGGCAGATGCCCCGGGCCTCACAGGCCCCTACGGGACAGCCGTGGTGCTGCGCTTCCTCCTGCTTCTAGCTCCTCAGACTCAATGTCTCTTACCTCCCATCCTTCCATCTCCAGGCCTCTCTTCCCATATATGTCATAGATGGCCCTTGTTTGGGGATCGCTAAGCACTGCAATAAAAAGAAAAAAAAATGATGCATTTTCACACAGAAAACTTCCCCTCCAGTCCTGAAAACCCAGTGTACAAGGTCACGAAGTAAGCCTCCTCCGCCTTCCTTTCCTTGCCAGTCTTCTTCCCCTTTAAAAAAAAAAAAATCATTTTTATTTTGTGTACATTGGGCTTTTTGCCTGCATGTATGTCTGTGTGTGGGTGTCAGATCTTGGAGTTACAGTTTGTGAGCTGTCATGTGGGTGCTGAGACTTGAACCTGGGTCCCCTGGAAGAGCAGTCAGTACTCTTAACCGCTGAGCCATCTCTCTAGCCCTTGGGAGTGTCTTTCTTCTGCTGCATCTTTCCTGACGCTTTCTTCTTTCGATGGAGGGTGTTTAAAGGCTACAGATGGGAAAAGCTGGGCTTTGGTAGGGTCCAGCCCGCTCTGGCAGTTCGGAAGGATGGTGGTTTTTGTTTGGTTTCAGGTTTTAGTTTTCTTGAGATGTTTCCTGTACACAAGGCTGGCCTTGCGCTTATTATGTAGCTGGGGATGTCCATATACTTCGGGCTCTACTGTTCCCACCTGCTGAGTGCTGCCCCATAAGAGTAATCTTCTCTAACACTCTGTTCCAAAGTGCGCTCCACAGGACACTGTACTGACGGCTGATTTACCTGACTACTAACCAACCAAAACAGCTGGTCTTGGTGTACTTCTCTTTACTTGCATTTTTTTTTTTTTAAAACTAGGGTCTCATGTAGCCCCGGCTCAAACTCAGTACACAGCCAACATTCCAAGTCCTGGGATCTCTACCTCCCAAGTCCTGGGATCACAGGTGTGAGCTCCAACATCCAGCTTTGAAAACCGTTTAAAGATACATGACTATCATTCACAATACTGGTGGCCACAGTACCTAGTGAGAAGATTCCTCAACAAGGGAGAAAATTACTCCGGGCCCCAATGGACTGTGAGCGAGGATGACAACTGCCCCAGAGCCACTCCGGATTTTGTTGGGGATCTTTGCACTGCGCCTCCTCTGAGGTTCCCATATATTTTTAGGCCTAATTAAAAAGCAATCTAAATGAGTCTATCCATATGCAAATCTAACAGAGAAGGAAGAAGAGCTGACCACTGGAAAACACGGAGCCAAACTTGTTGAGCAGAGCTGATTTACTAAAGAGGTCCAGGGCTTTGCCTGCGGCTGCAGTGCTTGCTTCCACAGGGAGGCAGGCTTCCGCTTACCTGCACTGGCCAGTGATGCATAACACCGGCAACAGCAGAATCGCTACAGCCCTTCACAAATCAGAATACAATGGGCTTGGTCACCACCAACCCTGGTGACATCGCAGACCCCTGTCTATCATGTGTCGCGGGCCGTCAAAATCTAACTTCTTGGTAAAAGCTGTGAGGTAAAACATGACACCTGCTATTTTGCTTGCTGTGAGGTCTTGCTGCCTCACACATTATCTAGCATTTTGGCCTCTAGTTAAGAGGCAGATCACAGGGTCTGAAATGAGTAACTTGATTTTTACTAATCTATAAATCCTCAGAGTGACTTAACAGTTTTTTTTTTTTTGCTTTTATTTCTAAATCATGGTAGAACATTTTTACCATTTCAATAGCTTTAAAATGCCCAACTTGGTAGCATGAAGCTCACCGGCACTAGGAAGCCATCAATCACTCTTTGCAGAGCCTTCCACCTTCCCAGAGACAAACATATCCCAAGTTTTCTTCATTTATAGGTAAAGCCATAAATTTCAGATCCTGAATGACTAGGCTCTACTTCCCCACCACGCTCTGCACACCAGCTTCTGTAAGCCCTTTCTTTCACCGACTGCCACAAAACCAATAAAACCACTCAGGTTAAAAAAAGGCCTTGTAGCTTCTCACAAAAAAGGGTCAAAGAAAGCAGCTTTACAAGTCCCGGCTCCGCCCCGCCCCCAGTAGACACCGGGAACCAGCTGGAGCCACAGCGCAGCCTCTCTCCAGACCTGACCCATCTCTTCATCTGGACTCCCATTTTCTTTTTCCTGGACACATATTGATTCCCAAAGCAAAATACGACTCTTTCAAAGGGCTCCGTCAGTAGGAAGCACCTAACCAAGCACCTCTTTTATACACCTCTAAGGACTCCAGCTCTGCCTTCCACAAATCAAGTCACTTAAAAATCGAACGTCTGGGCGCATGAAGCCAAGTTCTCCACTGACCTTCATAGGCCTGGTGAACAAGGTTAAACAGCCGTTCTGCCTGTGATTTGAGCTCCGGGTCCCTGTGCTTGTCCGGATGGTAGAGCATACACAGCCTCCGGTAGGCAGCTTTCAGCTCTTCAGCAGAGGCCTAAAGAAAGAGAAATTCAATTAGAGGACATCAATGGTACTGAAACACTATCATTATCGGAATCAGCCTTGGAACAGGACCTGTCAGCCACATTCCACCGCATCTGCCCTCTGCACAGGACATAATCAAGTTATGCTTTATTTCCCCAATAAGGCTTCGTTTCCACAGTTAATAAAGTGATCAATTATGTACATCAATAGCAACTGTGTTTGCTGTGCACACTGCTATGCAAGGGAATGAGAGCGGCTGTCTCCACCCTGGCTCGCCGTGCTGAAACACCAGACCCTTACTTGCCCCCAAACCCAAGTCAGCTAAGTCCCCCACACCAGAGAGCACACAGAGGGAGCACAGTCACATGCCACAGGCACATGGGATGTCAGTGATGTCAGAGCTTAATATATTAATTCTCAAGAGCCAAAGACAAGGCTGTAAAAGCAACACAGTCCTAAATGTGGCCTCTAAATGTGAACATGGAAAATGTTCCATCAGCTTGGAGCAACCAGGGGGTTACACAGGGAATGCTGGGCACAGAAGGTGCTTCCTGACGGTCTGTGGGGACAGCGGTGTGGGCTGTAGGAATGAGGCCAGCATAAACACCTTCTTCTTGGCTAGCAGCCACCAAAAACCCCTTAGGAGTCCTCCATGGCCCTGGGAACACTGTCTAGTTTTGCCAGTTGTTGTCTCTCTCTGGGAAGACCTAGAATCAGCATCCAAGACCACTGTGGTCTATCACAAGTAAAGCTGAAGGAGCACCCCCCCCCCCATCTTGACAAGGGAACTATGCTGTGTGGTCACTGACAATACGTAAGAGGGGCCCAAGAGGTCAGCATCTAGGTGGAAATGGGTCACCAAGGATGACCATGTCATAGCATCATGTACTGGGATGTAGGTCTTCAAGAAGTGATCATAGGGACGGACAGCTCAAGGGCAGTGATAGAAAACCACATGACACTATATGAGCTAACTACAACTTTTCCCTTCTAGGACTAAGCTTCTTCCCTTTTCTTTTTTCCTCCCTACTCACAAAGACGTGAAACTGACCCGTGCTTAACAATAATCTCTGGCATGACTTTACCCGTTTCCCACCAGCCCCACCTGGCAGATGCTGAAACCCAGATCCTGAGGGAGACAAGGTGCTGGGAAGGTATGCAGTGGGCACAGGGTTGGCTGGCCTGGGGCTGACCTCCCCAAAGTTCGATAAAGCAGTTACTCAGAAAAGCAGCAGCAAGATTGGAGCCTGCAGCTTGTCGGTTAGACTAGCCACAGACCCCTGCTGTCTGCCACTGTCACTCTAAACCAGAAGCTGTTCCACCAGAAGAGGGCAGGCTCTCAAGACGGAGAACTAGGGAGATTTCTGCCCTTCTGTCCCCAATCTCTTCCTCTACCTTCTCTCTGGGGTAGCCTTGGGAATGACACTGTTTAGTAGTTCTTAGCCCACTGCCTCCCCTCCATCTCTGGCAGGTTATCTCTGATTTACTGGGTGACCTTCCATTTCAGTGGCTGAGAAGGCAGGCGTAGGAGCTCAAAGGCCTGGACCCAGGCTATGCCCGGGTTTTTGTGTTTCTGTGATTCTGGGTGAGGGAGCTCCTATAAGCAGCTTTCCGTCTCAGTGTGACAATGCACTGAGACATCCCACGAGGGCTCACATGGTGCCCGACACAGCAAAAACTTATAAGAGTGGCTCTTCAGAACCTATTTCCTCCCTGTGAAATCAGGGGACAAGGCTGTTCCTCAGCTATGGTGAGACACATACCAGCTCACTCACAGGCAAGCCTGGCAATGCATACCATCCGATAGCAATCTCAGCTTAATTTCCAGACCTCCCCCTCCCCGTCAGCACTGGGATGGTCAGAGCAGCACTGCTTGGCGTGGGCAACAGGCATCCACTGCCAGCCAAAGTGGACCTGCATCACACCCGCCAACTGTGCTTAGATCTCAGTGGTCCCATCACTGAGCCTTCTCTTGCTTCTTCCTGCTTGGGGCTCTTTCCCAGCTGCCGCTAATCACGCAACACATTTCTTGCTGCATTAACACATTATCTGAATGAAACCCCAGCATTTGAATTACAATAGTAGACAACAGAAGATAAAACACACATCTTTCCGATAGCTCGATGCTGTGATTCAAAAGAGTTGTTCTTTCCTAAGTCATAGCTACACATTAGTTTCTTCCTGCAATTTTTTATTTCTTAAAGATTATTTATGTGTATGTGTGTGTACATATGTGTAAGGGTGGCCATGGAGGTCAGAAAAGAGCATCAGATCTGGAGCTGGAATTAAAGATGGTTGTAAGTCACCGACATGGTTGCTAGGAACTGAATTCTGCTTCTCTTAAAGAGAAGCAAGGGCTGGAGAGATGGCTCAGTGGTTAAGAGCATTGCCTGCTCTTCCAAAGGTTCTGAGTTCAATTCCCGGCAACCACATGGTGGCTCACAACCATCTGTAATGAGGTCTGGTGCCCTCTTCTGGCCTGCAGGCATACATGCAGAAAGAATATTGTATACATAATAAACAAATAAATAAATTTAAAAAAAAAAGAGAGAAGCAAGCACTCTTAACTACTGAACTGTCATTCCAGCCCTGTATTTATTTGGGAAAATAAAAAAGTATTCATGTGTACAGTGTGTTTCTATATGTAGTGTGTGTGAGTGCCACAGTGTACTTGTAGGGTCAGAGGGTAGTTATGTGGAGTCTGTTCTCTCCTTTCACCTTTATGTGGGTTCTAGGGATCAGACTCGGGCTGTCAGGCTGTGTGGCAGGTGCCATTGCCTGTCTGCTGAGCCGTCTTACCAGTGATGTTTTCTTCGAAGCCAGGTCTTAGCATGTAGCTCAAGCGGCCTCAACATGACCCTCATATGCATTCTTATTTTAGGTCCCTCAGCACTGGGAGTCTAGGTGTGAGGAACTGTCTGGCCTTCTTCCTGGAAACTTTAATTGCTCTTTCTCATACCTTATAAAAGTTACCAGTACAGGATGAAATGGAATTGAGTGACTCAAGGTTAGAAGACAAGTCCTGGTTACTAAAGTTAAGCCAAATGTCTGGGGAGCAGGAATCTAGTCTGCAATGCCACCTTTAATCATACTAACAAACGACTTAGAGTACTATCGATTAAGTAATGGAAATGAGAAGTTTCATTTTTAATAAATCTCACATTCAATAAAGGTTAGATTAGGCCTTTCATCACAACTGAATAGCTAAGGTCACTGGTTCAATATTTCATAAATGATAACCTTTCTCACTACTATTTAGCTCCTGACACCATTGTAGAAGGTAATGAGATCTCATTAAGAAGGACACCTAAACTATACATTTATCTCAAAACTTCTACAATAAAATCCAGATGTCCCAAGCTTAAAATCTGAAAGTTTTATTGCCCAGTCATCTGAAGAGAATGTTAGGTCACAAATTAAATCTCAATAGAACTTCTAATAAGATTTCTATTCCTAGGCTCTAAAGCTAAAAAGAAGAAGAAGAAAAAAAGACTTCTGTTCTTGTGTGCGCGCACAGTGCCCACAGAAGCCAGAAGAGATGCAGCTCCCTTGAAGCTGGAGCTATGGGTGGTTGTGAGCTGCCAACATGGGTGCTAGGAACTAAACTCAGTGCCTCTGCAAGAGTGGCAAGTGCTCTTAATTGCTGAGCCGTCTGTCCAGCCCTCAGCAGATTTAAAAGATAAACACTACACAAAGAATCATTCCTACCAGACAGCATGAAATTAGAAGCCTGTTACAGGTCGGGCAGTGGTGGAGCACGCCTTTAATCCCAGCATCTGGGAGGCAGAGGCAGGAAAATCTTTTGAGTTTGAAGCCTGTCTGGTCTACAGAGTAAATTCCTGAACAGCCAGGGCTACACAGAGAAACCCTGTCTCGAAAAACCAAACCAAACAAATCAACCAACCAAGCAAAAAACAACAACAAAGAAAGAAGTCTATGACAGGAGACCCCAAAACCCCAAAATCTGCGACTATTAAACAACACACCGCCCAGCCATCAGGGATCAAAGAAGAAAGTGCGAGCAGGTTAAATACTTAAAACACAGAAAATAAAACACAACATGCCAAAACCTATAGAATGAAACAAAGGCAGAGCTGTGGGGAAGTTTGTAACCATAAACCACCGCAATAAAGCCAGAAGTAAGGCTGGACATCTGGCTCACCAGGTTCAGATTCCAGCGTTTATGTGACCCTCGTGTAGCCTCTGGGAGTGCACACGGGTCCATTCACACTCACCCCATAACTACTAACTAACCAAAGAAGCCAGCCATGGCATAAGGTTCAAGGCTAGCCTGGTAGACTTAACAAGTTCTACCAAACTAGAATTATACAGACTGACTTTGTGTCAAGGAACAACAATAATAGTTCTTGTGTTACTCTATTTTCTGCTGCTGTAGCAAAATACTTGCAGTTGCAGACTTTATAAAGAGCAAAAGATTGCTTTCGCTTGACGTTTGAGAAGATGCAGAGGCATAACAGCCGCTTACGCTTGTCTCTGGTAAAGGCCTAATGTCGAAGGGCATTGAAATGTGTAGCCTGTGAGGGTGACGGCAGGGAGCTAGAGCAGCTGGGGTCCTGATCTCTTCCAAGGGCCACAGCAACCTCCTGCCCTCCAGCTGGCCAGTGCTTAGCATCAGCTGTGAGGACCGAGCTTCTAGCACATGAGCCTTTGGAGACATACTTAAAGCATAAGTGGTAAAGATGGGTACTGACTGGACACATTTCGTAGTTGATGCTGCTGCTTTTGGTGCTAGGGCCCAGGCCCAGGACTGTGTGTGCTGACATGCTCTGCCCTGCCAAGCTGCAACCCGTGTCCTGGGTGGGCAGCAGCACTCATCAGCTCCGAGCACAAAGACACTAAAGGAGAAAGGGCAGAGCTGAGAGGTGGCTCCATGGTGAAGGCACCTGCTGTACAAGCCTGGACATAGCGCCTGATGTCTGCAGCCTCTACAGGTTGAAGAGAACCAGCTCCGGAGGGTTACCCTCTGACCTTCACATGTGCCTGTGAGAG